CCCAGGACGAGCCTCTTAGAGAGTGGATAGTATATTAGCTCATGCCTTTGACAGGTCCAACTTAGAGTAATGAGGGTATCGGTGGTTCGGTGGCAAAATTCTTGCTTTCCACGCGGGAGGTCTGGGTTCAGTTCTGGCCAATGCATCTCATACACAGCCTTTACTCATCTGCCAGTGGAGGCTTGCATGCTATTATGATGCTGAACAGGTTTCAACAGAGCTTCCAGACTAAGACAGACTAGGAAGCAAGGCCTTGCAATCTACTTCCAAAAATCAGCCAATGAAAACCCTATGAGCTTCTGTTAAGGGTGATGATACAGTTTGGGAACGGATAAGGGGGATAGTTGAACAACATGATGAACATAATTAATGTCACTGAACTGTACATGTGAAGATGGTTGAAATGTCCAGTGTTTTGTTACATATATATTTACTACACACACATAAAACCCTATGGATCACAACGGTCCCATCCACAACTGATTGTGGGTGTGGCGCAGGCCTGGGCACTGCTGCTTTCTGTTGTTCATGGGTTTGCCGTGAGTGTGGGGCTGACTCATGGCAGCTAACAACAACGACAGTTTGAGTAACAATGAGCAGGGGGTTGTATGGGCCTCAAAGTTATGGGGCTTAGCCCGGTGTAAGAGCAAAAGCCTTTGGCCAGGAAGGAGGAGCTCCTGAGTTCCAAGTCCAGTGCAGCCACCAGCCACCAGTCACTTTCCTGCTCTAATCCTCAGTTTCTTCATCTGTAAAGATAATCAAATGACTGTTGATTGGGTTGAATCGAATGATTCCTAAGAGACTTTGGGGCTCTAAAGTTCTGAGTGTGTGGAGCATGCCTCCTAGGAAATGAGAGCCCATAGAAGAGAGGAAATGGTCCCACCAGACATGTTAACACTGCGTATGAAGTGAGAAGCACCATAGATGGGGGAGCGGGGCAGTGGAGCGATCAGAGAGGACTCCCAGGAAGGGTACGCCATTTTGTAAAGTGACTTAGAGAATGGGTAGGATAATAGTAGAGATCAAGGGACATAATCGTCCACTAGGCAAAGACAGAGGAAATGACATGAAGGAAAACACAGGCAGGAATTTCAGGCCTGGAAGAGACTAGTTAAGACAAGAAGGTCCGTGATGGGGGAGCTGGCGAACCCAGGCTGGAAGGTAGAAGGGGGTGGCTTGTGGAGGGCCCTGAGCATTGTGGTGTTTTAAATTTGCTAATATGCTATGACTTTAGTTGGTTATTACTTTGATGATGAGATTGAACATTGAATTTTGCATGTTTATTACCTGTGGGGGAGAGTATTGCTAAGCAAATTAATAGCATAAACCAGATATATAATGCAATAATCCAGTGACTGATTGCTAGTTCTTCCTCTGTGTCTAGGACTTGATTTGCCAAGGTCACGGTTCAGGTGACACTTATACTTCAAACTGTGTCACATCTGCAGCATCCTTTAAAAATAATTATTTGTTAGAGTTCTGTCTGGCAGGGTTGCTACTTAGGAAAGTCTAGCTTCTGTTACAATATGAACTTGTCAGTAGGAAACACCTGTTCTTCTTTAAACAAAATTTTGTAATTCAGGTTTTTCATTATAACTGCTCAGTTACTCCAAAGTTCATGGGGGTCTTGCTGTGCTTTTATATAAATGAACATCAGAACATGATTCAGGCACTCCCGGGATGGTCATCTGACTTAAACTCTGGGGACTCACTGCTTCACTACAGCATGAGCCCACCCCACTCTCACCTCCCCATGGCCTGGAGCCTGGAGGGCACCTCCTCCTGCTCAGGCTGGGCGAGGTGCCATATGCCATACTGCAGGGAGAAACTCAACCCTGAGCTCTCTTCCAAAAGCTGGTGGCTCAGTTCTTGTCTAGTCCGTCTACTTTACTGGTTTGTGTGACCTTTTATAGGCCATGTTGGCAAGCCAGCCATTGCTATTAGCATTGATTCGATGGGAAAGTGCCTGTCAAGTTACAGACCAACACTGGGGCCTAACCCTTTTGTGTTTTGGGAACCGTGGGTGCTGCATGGAGCCTGGTGACACTGGCCGTGAATCTTCCAAGGCCTGGCCCCTTTCCCCCAAATGTCTCCCCTTCCTCAGTCTCTCTCCCAGGCCTCCTGGCATAGCTTCGCCCAGGCCATGGAGAGTGGAGATCAAGCTGGGTGTGGGAGGGAGGCCTGCCTGGCTTTGAATTCTAGCTTTGCTGCTGAATGACTTCAGACTCAAGTTCTCAGAATGGCTGTAAAACCTGAATTCCACCTTTATATGTGCAGGAGTCCACACTCTCTGTCTACACTCCAAACATGCTAGAGTTTCCCGAAGTGTGAGATGTTCTCACGACAGTTTTTATCAGCATTTCTAAGCTTTGTGTAGAATTTTATAAGAATCGATAAACGGGAACAGTTCTGCTCTTAAGTATATTTACTAGGCTAATAGATACACAAAGGTTTTTGTTTTGTTTGTGATCCACAAGTTTTTTTTTTTTATTGTTGTTGTAAAGATGCACTAAAATTTTGATTGAAAAAGTTTGGGAAAATTAAAAAAACTGAACCTGAACACATTTTGAAACAATAGCACCTCCTCTCCCCAGCTTTTCTCCTGGGAGAATGGGCAGACTGAGGACCCTACAGTTCGGAGGACCGTATGTTTGGAGCACTTTATCCCCCTGGCACACCCTGTGGTCAGGGCCCCTTCGTACTCCTCATCTGTGAACAGACCACCAACTCGAGTGCCTGTTTAAACATATCTGGAGACAGTGCAAGTTCTGGAGTCAGACTGCCTGCAATCCAGTTTCCACTCTAACACTTGCTGTGTGACCTTGGGCAAGTTGCTTAGCCTCTCTGGGGCCTCAGTTTTCCCACCTGTAAAATGGGGATAATGTTGGTACCCATCTCAGAGTGTTACGGGGATTAGATGAAACAATAGTGCTTATAGAGGACTTTGCACTGTACCAGGCATATAATGAGCACTCAGTAAATGCTAGGTGGTATTATCTAATTTTTTCCCTGTTTCTTTAAATTTAGGGGACATATTTAAATGATATATCTCTTCTGGGCCTTCTCAACCTCACAGAAATATAGAAACTTCGGGAGAAGTTAAAACAGGCAATGAAATCAATTAAAGGTGTAAAATATAGCCTGTGCGCTAAGATGGCTCAACAACCCTGATTTCATTTACAGAGAAAACACGGCTCCAAAGGATGGCATAATTTCTCTTTCTCATACAGATGGCAGAAGTGTGCTTAACATTTGATAGTTCAGTTCTTTCCCTCGACTCCTGGGCTTAAATTTGACCAGTCAGGACTTGTTAGACAAATGGTTACGGCCAACTAGATGGTTAGCTTCAGGAATGGGGTGCTGGAGAAGGCTGTGCAGGTTGCTTCTCTTGAGCCCCTTCACGAAGATGAGGGGTTATCTCCCTGGGGGGTTGGACATGGCTCTGCCCGAATCCCCACCTCAAATAGGGATTCTCGCCACCCCCAGTACCTACCTATTCCGAGTCACTGCTGAGTGTTGTCTGAAGGCTGCTGCGTTTCCACTTGTCGCTTGGTAGTGAGTGAAACGTATTCCAAAATACTCCCCTTCATGTTCCCCTTTGTTGCAAAGGAAGGAGGGAGTAGTCTTTGTCCCCTCTACACCCCCACTCCTAATTCCATGTGTGCATCAATACACGAGTGTGTACCATATCACAGAATGCTCTTTAGCTCACTACTTTGGACACATCATCAGGAAAGACCAATGGCTAGAAAAGGACATTGTGTTTAATAAGGTAGAGGATCAGCGAAGACGAGGGAAACCCTCAGTGAGATGGATTGATAAAACAGCCACAAGAGTGGACTCAGATGTAGCAGCCAACGATCACGACAATGATGCAGGACTGGACAACGTTTCGTTCCGTTGTATGTAAGATCACCATGAGTTGGAGCCAACTGGACAGCAGCTAACAACGACAACATTACGTGAAGGAGACTTGGTGGGGAGGGGAGGCCTCTGAATGACTTCAGCTTAATGAAGAAGGCAGACTTCTCCCATCGCTCTCCCCTGGCTCCTGTGCCCCATATCATGTCACCTGGGTCTCCTCAGCCCCCCGAATAAGAACCTGGATGACGTTCGCTGGGGCCACTGCATACAGTTGGACAGGCTATATACTACATGAGGGCACCCGAGCAAGGGTGCATGTGGGGCTTAAAGTTCAGCTAGAGTCCTGCGTGCCAAGTAGTGAGCCTGACGATAGCTAACTGGCCCCTCCCCTTCACCCCCACTCCCCATAGCAGCCTCCATTGCTGCTGAATTCTTTGGAGACTGCCTTCCACGGCCGTGACTTTCAGGGGCCCAGGGGAGCTGCAAAATGAACAAGGGAGGATGTGTTGGCGTAATTGATTGCTGGTGACAAGGAGGGTGATTGTTCGTTATTTCAGTGCCTGCACTGAGTCCCCTCAGTGCGCAGGCACAGTGCTGTGAGCTGCGGATATGTGTCTGGGCCTAAGACCTGGCGCTTGCCGCAACGGCCCGCAAGCAGATGAGTATAATACCTGTGGTGAGTACCACAGTGGCTGCAGGCACAGGTGCCCTGGGAGCATGGAGGAGGTGTTCCCAACACGCTGGAGGGACAGGCCAGGGGAAGCTTCCCTGGAGGAAGTGAGTCTGCGCAGGGTCTTCCAGCATGCATGGGAGCTGGCTGAGCACGCCTCTCTTGGGGTGGAGCCATTCTGCCAATGGAACCACGAATGAAAATCGCCGTGCTGAGAAGGGATGTACTTCCAGAGGGCCCAGTAAGTCTGCGAGGAGCCTGACCATTTCCATCATGCTTCTTAACACCGGGCAAAAAAAAAAAAAAGATCTTTTTTATTTGCAAAAGAGTAAAATGCCATTCATTCTCCCTTTCTGGGAGATTATATTTCTTGGTTTTTAAATGATTGTGTTAAACCTCGGTAACCCAGGAAGCTTTCTGGCCTCTTGCTTTGTGACTTGCTCATCCTTTCTTTTCCCTCCAACAGGTACTTGCTAGAGCAGGATTTCCCAGGCATGCGGATTGGCCCAGAGCCCACCACGGACTCCTTCATCGCTGTGATGTATGGGGAGACAGAGGGCAGCACCCCGGGAAACGCGTTGGTCGTGGATCCCAAAAAGCCATTCCGAAAACTTAGTCGTTTTGGAAATGCTTTCCTGAATCGGTAAGGACGAGCAAACTACCATCTTCCGTCAGGCTGTTGAAACCTTTTCTTCAAATTATTGCCAATTATAGGTAAAGGCTGAAAAACAGAAGAACAGAGCATGTCTGTTCTAGGAAAGAGACGTTATAGCGAATATTCGTATTGTATTTCAAATATCTGAGAGACAACCATAGGAAATGACCATTTATAACTATTCTGTGTGACTTCAGAGAGCATAGCTGAGGCCCGGGGTTGGACATTATAAGGCCGCACACTATAAGCAACAAATTTCTAATAATTTGAGCTGTGCAAAAATGGATCAGGTTGCCTTGGGAGCTAACGACTTCCCCGTCACTGGCAGTATTGACTGGAGGCTGGATGATGACCTCTCAGGCATGTGTGTGGTGTCTCCTGGAGTCAGAGGGAGCCTAGCCAGAGGACCCCCCAAGGTTCAGTCCATTGATTACTGCTGGGCGGGTTACCTTACCTCCCTGACTGTCCTAAGCTCCTCACTCCCACGCTCGTGGTGCCTTCTGTATTCATGAGAGCAGGACAGGGGAAATAGAGACAAAACCCAAAAAGTTCATTTTGTTACATGGTTTATAGATGCGAAATTGTGGGCTGAGATCCTGTCTTAATTAGAGACGTGTTTTGTTTGGATTACCCCCGTAACCTTTCACCAGAATTCCCAATGAAGCCCGGGGGGAGGGGAGCAGATTTGCGGGATGGGGGCAGGGGGTTGGGGAGAGAGAACAAGTCGGTGGGTTCTCCTGGGTTCAGCTCTGCCCTTTGGGACATGATCTGCTATTCTTCCCTCCCCCTCTTGCTCTTTGCCATTCCTCACCTATGTTTTAAAACCCTTTTCTCTTTCTCCTTTCCTGCTGTTTCCCCCACCCCTTCATTGCCCTCTTCTCTGAGTCTGCTGCTGTAGAGCGGTTGATTTGGGGGAGTGGGAGGTGCAGAGTCAGGGAGGAGTGATTTGGGCCTCCTTAGGAAGAGGAAGAGGCCCCTGGGTGGTGCAAATGGTTTGCGCTCAGCTGCTAACTGAAAGGTTGGCAGTTTGAACCCACCCAGCAGTACCACGGAATAAAGGGCCTGGTGATCTGCTTCCATAAAGATTACAGCCAAGAAAACCCTATGGAGCAGTCCTACACTATTACACATGAGGTCGCCATGAGTCAGAATCAACTCGACAGCACGAGACAGCAGCAAAAGTGAGATCGAAGCTGACAGACAGCAAGAGGCATTAACTGGGCTTCTCTTTTTTAGATATTTTTAAAAATAGGGATAGATCCTTCCAGCTGACTGCTGTCTGTCTACCCAGAAGGCTAAGGAGCCTCACTGCACAACTTTAGGGGACGCCACTCCCATGGAATATGGGATTAGTTACGTGCCCTGGTGTCATGCTGTGGCTCTGCCAAGGTGACCCAGGCAACCTCCACAGGTGCCCTCTATGAAAAACAACTAGACATCTGAACGCTTCCTAAAGGCCTTTTCTTATGCTCCCATTGCAAATCAAAGAACGCGTCCTAGTGTAGAAAGGGAGCTTGGCAGTGGGATAAATATAAATGCGCAGATGATGGACATGGAGTCACAGAGAGTTCCATCTTGACACTGACAGTGATTTGCAGAACACTGTCCAGATGATCTTTCCCAGCCTGCAGGATTCTCTTCTCTAGGAGGAGCTGACTCTGTCTCCGGAGCAGGCTTGATTGGCACCAGGGAGTAGGAGAAATAGAGCTCGGGCTTTGGGAATCAATGCCCGGAACCAGGCAGCACCACAGACCCAGCTCCCTGGATCCCTTGGGAACAGAGTAGACCACAGTCGAGGGAAAGTGGGACAAGAAGCTCCCCTATCACAGCCTCCCTGGGAGCCGTGTCACAGGGTGGGCAACAGCCACATTTCCTGTCCTGGCCCTGGAAGGTTCCGGAGGCCCCGGAAGGTGCAGGACATACAGCCCTTCTCTGTGGAGGGCTGCTCTGGAATCCCATGGTTTCATTACCACTGCCGTTGGTCTCATACTCTTTTTGCTTGACAAAGGCTTAAAAAAGAAATAAGCTGCCACTTTCTTCAAATTCCCATTTTATGAAATCCATATTCACAAGGAGAAACCCAGAAATAGTGCTTATTGGCTTGTTTTATTTTGGCTGATAATTTAATTTCCTACCAACAAAAGAAATTTTTTAAATCCCAAACACAGAAGATGAGTGTGGGAAAGAAGTGTTCAGGAAAAACTTTGAATGGCAAGGTTTGTTACCTAAGAATTTTAAACTTAGTGAAAATAATCCATGCACAACACTAGATAAAACCGAAAACAAACAAACAAACAAACAAAAAAACCCCAAACCTGTTGCCATCAAGTCGATTTCGACTCATAGCGACCCTATAGGATGGAGTAGAACTGCCCCACAGGTTTTCTAAGGAGCAGCTGGTGGATTCAAACTGTTGACCTTTTGGTTAGCAGCCGAGCTCTTAACCACCGTGCCACCAGCGCTCCTAGTGCTAGATAATCAAGTGTTAACTGAATTCAGAACAGTATGTAGAAAAAAATAATAGCAATTAATTATATGACATTTACTATGTGTGAGGTGGAGCCCTGGTAGCGCAGTGGTTAAGAACTTGGCTGCTAACCGAAAGGTTGGCAGTTCAAATCCACCAGGCGCTCCTTGGAAACCCTATGGGGCAGTTCTACTCTGTCCTGTAGAGTCACTATGAGTCAGAATCAACTTGATGGCAATGAATTTTGGTTATGTGTCAGGTACTAGTCTAAAATTTACTTGTATATTAACTCTTAAGTCCCCACAAAGACCCTGTAACATAGGTGCTGCCATTATCCCCATATGCAGAGGAGGAGTTGGAGCACAGAAGGGTTAATTCAACTTCCACAGGGTCCCTCAGCTATTAAGTGACAGGGCTGGGATTGGAACCTGCAGAGTCCTGGCTAGTTCCGCTATACTGAGCTGCTGAACAGTATGACTTTTGGACTAAGAATTGTTGTCTGCTGCCCTTTCTAAACTCCCTGTTTAACTTTTAAGGCTGCCATTAACATGGCTTTCCAGCAGAGGTGATGAAGGTGGTAATAATTATGTTCCATGTTATAGTTTGCATAATCTCATATACGTTGTCCTTTTGGGGTTAAGAAGACAGACAATATTATGACCAGTTTACAGATGAGAAAGCTTAAAGCAAAAAAGTAAAGGGACTTCCTCAAGGCCACAAAGTCAGGAAGAGGCAGAGACAGGACCAGAATTTCAGGATTCCCCTCCCTTCTGTCCATTACCCTGCACCTCCATAAGGCTCTGGCAGAGAAGAGTTTCTGTCCTTCTGGCCGGGCTGGTGGCCATGCTTAGGTAAGGCTCATGGGTAAGAGATGTACCTTATGGACTTAAGAGTAAACAACCTGGTGAGGTAGTGTCCACAGGACAAGCCGCTGTTCTCCACCGTACCTACTTAAGGAAGAGCATCAATCCGTGTGGGACACTCGAATGTGTGTTCCTAATTACAGCATCCCTGGGGGAACATTGGCCGGGCTAACTCTAAAGGCAGCAAACCTTTTCCATATAGCACACTTTTCTGAGAATTAGGTCAAAATACAATACTTAGTAAGAAAGAGAACTGATTGTTTGCTGTGGAGAAATTTCTTCCTCCAGGAAACTGCCAAAATCACCCCTGCGACAGGTCATTACCTGGCCCTCATATTGGAGTTGGCTTGGGCATCTGCCCCAGGCAGAGGCGTATCTGAGGTATAGCAGGCATGACATGTGCCCTGGGGGCCACTTGAAGGCAGGGCAGCACCCCTCACTGAGCCGTCTCTATTAACCCATTACAGCCCAGAGCCCTTCCTCAAGCATGGTAGACATGGAGGCGTAGCAAGGGGGTGGGGAGAGAGGGGGGCATTTACCCCCGGGTGCAAGTCCAAGGGGTTACCATACAAGGCGCAGAATAACATTCTGAGGTGCCACAAATATGAAAGGCACCCGACCGAGGCAGCCAGACAAGCAGGGGAAAGGCGTTTCTGCTGACATGTCAACGCTGTCAACGTCTATTCATCTTGAAATGTGGGGGCAGGTGGCAGAGCTTACGGATTGCCCCTGGGCACTTGCTACCCCCTCCTTTACACCTCTGCCCAAGGGCATCTTTAAAGAGTTAAGTACTTCATGAAGTAGTAATATCCACTACCTCATGTAGCGATGCCACCCTCCAGGCATTAAGCCAACCAGGAGAGCCTCAGTCTTCTCTCCAAGGCTGGTATCTAGGAAAATAACAGGGTATCGACAGTGCATTTCTGAGAAAGAAGGGCAAATTCTCTAAAAGACAGGTTTAAATTATAGAAATTCCATGCTTGAACAATAAAAGAAGGAGTTGAGCCTAGAACAAAAAGAGTTTATGGAAGTGACTTTAATGTGACCTTCTGAAGCCCCATCATGCTGCTTTACTTTAGAGAGGAATTCCACAGGCAGGCGCCCCTGTGGGAATGTGGTTGTCATTCCAGCGTTTGTTATCGGGGGGCAGTTCCACCTCACAGAGGAGGAGACAGACAGGACCAACAGTGCCCTGAGGACTTGGATCCATGGAGACACCAGTGTATTTTGGTCATTCAAGAAGCGTCAGGGACGAGTGTCTGACACTTCCTCCTGTAGTCTGCTTTTGAATCGGATGTTATATTTTTTTTTTTTTCCCCTCAATCTACTTTTCTAAAAATGGTAGTTTTTTTTTAATCCCAATAGCTACAGACATTACTTTTTAGATTAGGATCTAGTATAATTTAAAATTGTGGTCTTCCACAGAAGAAATTCCTCATCTCATCTACTTCCTTCATTGTCTCTATTTCTTTTTGAAAAATAACTTTAATCACTGGCCCTAGGAATTGAAATTTTGAGACTTCCCTTTGAACTGAAGGAATATGAGTGGTGCTTCAGCGCTTCTGTCATTTTGGCCAAGCCTGATGATGGTGAGGGTGGGGACAGAAAGGTCTTGCATCGTATAACGATTTAGCAATAATAGAATACACGTGATTTTT